AATAGTTTGAGCTCTCTGAGCTGAGTTCAGTAACTGTTACTTAAACACCAGAAAGCCAGTGGCCGGACTTTGATTCAACGGCAGGTACACTGGTCTTTCTGATTGTGAAAGCTGTTGACTGAAGGTAAACTAGCATAGCATTACATACATAAGTGAACGCAGCAGTTCATTACAATAAAACAAATGCAGCAGCTTACAACAGATAACAAACAGAATGTGACGTCTCGTCAACAATGATGCATAATTATCAGTGGTTATAAAAGAAACGTAACTATTTCTGAAACTATTTCTGCCCAGACCAAAGCTCTTACTTGGGGTAACTCCTGGTGATCGTTGCAAAGTTGGTTAGATCGTCACTCTGTTGAATGTTAAATCAACAGATTCAGGTAGGTTTCCTTCGTGGCAGATGTAGGAGGAGGGTAGCGGGATTCAGATCTTCGCCCAGAGCGCTGCTGTATAGGGTCTTCTGGTTGCAGGAGCCGAGTTCTTTATGTGTCCTTGTGGATTCAGGGATCAGTGGGCTTCCTTCAGCGCTCCCGTCCAGTTGCGTTCAATGACGTCTTACGAAAAATCAAAGGAAAGAAACTCTTCTTTTTGCTCGAACTTGATAACATCTGATATCGCCCAAAACTCCTAAAAATATGCCGTGGAAGTAGTCAGCTGAATCCTCTGATGCTTGAATTCAGCATGTGAAGAGCTTCCTAGACTGAACAACCTCAGCTCTGGAGTTTAACCTATGTAAGCCAAGACGAGGAAAGGGTTTGTCTCGAATGCTGGAGAGCTGAGGTTGTTCAGTCCGGGTAGCTCTTCACATGCTGAATTCAAGCATCAGAGGATTCAGCTGAGAACTCGGCTCCTGCAACAAGAAGACCCTAGAGCAGTACTCTGGTCGAAGATCTGAATCCTGCTACGCTCCTCCTGCATCTGCCACGAAGGAACCCTGCCTGAATCTGTTGATTTAACATTCAACAGAGTCACTATCTAACCAACTTTGCAATGATCACCAGGAGTTACCCCAAGTAAGAGCTTTGGTCTGGGCAGAAATAGTTTCAGAGATAGTTATGTTTCTTTTATAACCACTGATAATTATGCATCATTGTTGACGAGACGTCACATTCTGTTTGTTATCTGTTGTAAGCTGCTGCATTTTTTTTATTGTAATGAACTGCTGTGTTCGCCTATGTGTGTAACGCTATGCTCGTTTACCTTCAGTCAACGGCTTTCACAATCAGAAAGACCAGTGTACCCGCCTTTGAATCAAAGTCCGGCCACTGGCTTTCTGGTGTTTAAGTAACAGTTACTGAACACAGCTCAGAGAGCTCAAACTATTTCAAAAGGTAGCCACACGGCTTCCTTTGTTGTCCACTATTTTGTCACCAAAGCCACTTGGTGCATTGTCTCTCTCCACCATCTTGTTCTCTCTCTCTCTCTCTCGCTCTCTCTCTCTCTCTCTCTCTCATCCACACACACACACACACACACACACACACACACACACACACACACACACACACACAACTACACTTTTTCACCTCATTTACAAGTTTTGCTTGATAGTGTTTGCTTATCTTTATGTATTTTTTATTTCCTTATTTCCTCATTAAATTTAGGGAATAAATGACTTTAGAGGCTGACCAAAGATCAAGCAACGAGGAAATACATGTGTTATGATCGGGAAGGGGTTGAATTAATCATGTGAGTGAGGCAACAAGTCAAACGAGGTCAACATTTTATTCCCTTTCTATTCATGTAAGGCCTCATTATGTTGAAATATTTCTCCTACAGGTCACTTCATTCATCTCTCTCTTTCTATCTCAGAATTTGTAAAAAAAAAAAAATATTGAAAGAATAATCAACTAAAGTCTAAAGTAAATCAACAAAATCTAGAGAAACATCTGGTAATGCTGCTTGGTCTGACAAAATGAACATTAGAGCCCGACCGATAATATCAAGTGACTATCAGCATCAGCTGTTTTTATCATAGATATGTGCCGATATTACTAGATTTAAAGTCAAACAGCATTTCATTTTGAGTTTAAGTGTGTAACACTAGCAGTTATCTTGAAGCTGTCACCAGCAGATTACAACAAGCGTCATCAATTCTACAATTCACTTAGCAGACTCTTTTATCCAAAGTGACGTACATCAGAGAGTAAGAACAACACAAGCAGAGAAAAGAAAACAATCTAGAAAAAAGGGAACAATGTCAGTAAGCGCAAACGATCAGCTTTGAGTCCGATTGGACACACAGGTGCTGACAGAAGTGACCAGAGGCAAAGCACAACATTGAGGGCAGTTCTTGAGAGCTCTAATCAGTATAGAAACCATCTTATAAGTCGTCGTTATCAAACAAAAACCATCGTCATTACCATCATCATCATCAATAATATGGAGACCATCATCATTAAGTTAGTAGGTATTCATGAAAGAGCTGGGTCTTTAGCTTTTTCTTAAAGGTGCAGAGGGACTCTGCAGATCCAATGGAGTTTGGAAGTTCATTCCACCACCGGGGGGCGACAGAGGAGAAGAGTCTAGTCAGAGACTTAGGACCCTGTTGTGAAGGTTGGATCAGACGCCTTTCATTGGCAGAGCGTTAAGGGGCGGGAGGGAGTGTAGACCTGGATTAGAGAGTTAAAGTGAGGAGGAGCTGTTTTTGTCGCTGTTTTGTAAGCAAGCAGCAGAGTTTTAAATTTGATGCGAGTAGTAACTGGGAGCCAGTGTAAGGAGATGAACAGCGGACTGACATGTACTCTCTTAGGAAGGTTGAAGACCAGTCGTGCTGCTGCATTTTGTATCATTTGCACCATTCATGAAAGACCCAGCTCTTTCATGAATACCTACTAACTTAATGATGATGGTCTCCATATTATTGATGATGATGATGATGGTTGTGACGATTGTTTTTGTTTGATAACGATGACTTATAAGATGGTTTCTATACTGATTAGAGCTCTCAAGAACTGCCCTCAATGTTGTGCTTTGCCTCTGGTCACTTCCTGTCAGCACCTGTGTGTCCAATCAGACTCAAAGCTGATCGTTTGCTCTTACTGACATTGTTCCCTTTTTTCTAGATCCTTGCTTGTGTTGTTCTTACTCTCTGATGTACGTCGCTTTGGATAATAGCGTCTGCTAAGTGAATTGTAGAACATTTCTTCTGACACGCGGCTCTCTTATCTAACTCTTTGAAAATGTCCTTGACTTTAGTCATATTCATTTTAATCACATCGAAGAAACTTTTAATCATGAGGATAACTACATGACGGTTGTCCTTCAACCTTTGTTCATCCATGTAATGAATAAAAGAAGGTTGTTGAGTTCAGTTAAAAACCAGGACACATGGCAGAAACTCAGCAATTTCTCCATCGGTCCAAAAAAGGACTGTTAACCAAACGCCCCTCGAAAAAGTGTTTCTAATAATCTAGAGTAATGTTCAAGAGACAGATGTGAATTTTTGTGGACATAAGTCCCAGAGATTTTACTGAAAATTATACTACAATACCTCTCCTGAGGAAAAGAGATCCAGTTTAAAGGCTTTATATGTGATGTTTTGATCCAGCAGATGTCGCCCTTGAGCACCAGCATGAAACCAAAACAACTGGCGCTGCATTGTTGTGTTAGCATGCTAATGCTAGCAATCTTTATTATGCTCATATCTTCACACTGCATGGAAATTTACCTGAAATGAGCGTGATCTAGAAACACAGTTAAGCAGTGAGTACAGTATGTTATTCTTCTTTTCTCTAGTCCCTCAATTAAACAACTTTTATACACGAGGGGAGGAGTCAGCCGGCCATCCCGACAATGTAAACAAACTGAAGATAGGACTCGGAAAACTCTGAAAGCATCACAGACAGTGGGACTCGGGTGTTACACCCATTGTAGACAGTCATGACTCACAGAGTTATTTTCAGAGGATAGACTTGATTTATATTATATTTAAGTGTGAAAAATCACATTCACAGACTTTAACGTAAACACTATGACACTCTCAACTGGAAAGTTACTGCGCGCGTACTTGCGTCACCACCATAGTCTGTAAATATGAATGGACAAAGCCTGAGTGACATCAGCCGTCTGTTCCTGCAGGGGGCACTGGAGGCTCATCAGCAGCAGCCTCCATGCTGGAAATGCTGTCTCAGTCTAACTTTCAGTCAACCTAAAGACAGGCTGAGAGCTGGAGCTGAGGCGGGTTTTAAACCTCCTGTTAGCTACACACCTAACTATGGATAACATGTCGTTCATAAAATCAAAAAAGAGCTGTGTTTTAAAAAAATGTACAAAGTACCCCCGTACAGTGTGTGCCAGTGATGACAAAAACGAATCAGAACTATTTCGTTTTTTTTGTACCAGGCTGTAAACATGTTAATCTCTGCTGCAGCCAGCCTCAAGCGGACCCTCGACGCGCTGCAAGATTTTGCACTTCTGCATTGGCTTCATATTTCAAGACCGGAGGTTGCCGCTTGATACTCTGGAGGGTGATGATGCTTGTTGTAATCTGCTGGTGACAGCTTCAAGATAACTGCTAGTGTAGTACACTTAAACTCAAAATGAAATGCTGTTTGACTGTTGAATGATAGTCACTTGATATTATCGGTCGGGCTCTAATGTTCATTCTGTCAGACAGAGCAGCATTACCAGATGTAACTCCAGATTTTGGTGCTTTAGTTGATTATTCTTTCAATCATTTTTATTTTTTTTACAAATTCTGAGATAGAAAGAGAGAGATAGATGAAGTGACCTGTAGGAGAAATATTTCAACATAATGAGGCCTTACATGAATATAGAAAGGAAATAAAATGTTGACCTTGTTTAACCATTTAATCCGTTCACAGGTGAGCTGATTAATTAAATCCCTTCCCGATCAAAACAAATGTATTTCCTCGTTGCTTGATCTTTGGTCGGCCTCTAAAGTCATTTATTCCCTAAATCTGCTAAGGAAATAAGGAAATAAAAAATACATAAAGATAAGTAACTGTATTTAAGAGGTGACCTGTTCTTCATCTCCTCACAGAAAATCTGAAGCTACAAGAAGAAGACATCATAATCCATTCATCACTTTGACGACCTGCATCAAACTCAGCCATGAAGATGCTGATCGTGTTGCTACTTGTCTGTGCCGCGACGGCCCTGACTGATGCTGCTGGTGAGTGTTAACAGACAAATCAAGACCTAGAAAAGAAAAGAGTTCATGTAATGCAGAAACAGCAGACGTCAGTTAAATGGTGTTTGCCTCTGTTCCAGAAGAACAGCCCGATCACATGACGGGAGAATCAGAAGAACCATCCATTCAAGAAGGTGAGTTGGTGGTTTTTTTTCTCTTTTGTTTTTGCACAATGACATCAGATTTCTGTTTTTCACCTCAGTGCAAATGCTCTGATGAGCAACCAGGAAATACAGTTTTATAAATGAGCATGAAATAAAGAATAATAAGACTTCTGTGTTTGACCTGCAGCTGGTTCAGGAGACAACGAAACGGCAGTTGACTCGTCCATTCAAGACGGTGAGTTGGTGTCCTTAGATTGAATCAGACAAAGCAGTTACCTCGTGTTAAGAGGAGACCCTTTAATCTGTCGGGGCCCCTCCGACCTGTGTTCATCACTATTATGTCTGGCAGTGTTCCTACACTTCCTCCTCTTCCTTTCTTTTACTCCCACACGGATGATTCCTCTCCTCAGGTGGCTTTAATTGACAAAGCTTTAAAAGGAGAGGGAAGTGCTCTCAGATGGGGCCCCCTTTAGGGAGGTATCCTACTGTCATTGCAAAATTTGTGCATTTTGAGCCACTGCTGTGATTTTAAAGTTTGTCAGCCCTCTGGGGCCCCCAGCAGTTCCCTGCCTCGCCTGTTGGCAAACAGCGCATCTGATTGTGATCAAAAAGAGACGAAAACAGATGAAGCCAGTCGCTGACATGTGTTTAACCTTTCAACCTTTCCTAGAAGCACAGCCGGATGAAATAAAAGGAGAACCCTTTGTTCCAGAAGGTGATGTGATGGCAGAGGGTGAGTTGAGGTTATATCTACTTTCTCAGTGCAAAGGTTGTGATAAAAAAGCAAAATCATGAAGAGTGTTGTCTAGCTCAGTGCTTCCCAAAGTGTGGGCCGCGCCCCCCTGGTGGGCCGTGTGGGTACTGCAGGTGTGCCGCGAAAAGCCCTCCACCAATTTAAGAAATAAAAGAAATATCACAATAATGATGATTTACCATGAGTCAACCCTTTAAGTGATTAGTAAAACGTGTCATGACTATTCATGGACATAATGTTTAGTAAACTTTTGTGTCTATCTTGCCATAATATCATGTTGTCATGTCCAATAATTTACCCTTACTGAAAGTTATAACTGTAGTCATAAAAATGTTTTTAGAATGATCCCCGGAGTAATTTTGTATTTCAAAGCGGGCCACGGCAGACTTAAGTTTGGGAAAGGCTGGATTAGCTTACAGTAGGTGCATCAGTGAGGTTTCACTTCTACATTCACTTCTTTCTGAACTTTGTTTGCAGGTGACGATCTCACTGTCCAAAGATCAAGTGGTTGTTCCAGTGGTTGGACTCAGTACAACGGTCGCTGTTTCCTCTACTTTCCAACAGCAATGCGTTGGGCTGATGCTGAGGTAATCATTGATTTGGATCCAGTACAGAGCTCCTGAACACTGAACGCTCTCCAGTCTCTATGTACCCTCCGTCGTCATTTCAGAACTCATTCTCTAGTTTATCTCTGGATGTTTGGGCCGGTCACACTGTATGAAGACTACTTGAAGGGCAGTTCACTTCTGGAGTCTTAAAAATGTGTCGTAGCTTCTGTATTTGAAGAGTTGGGAGTATAAAGGAACATGTTGTTAAATGGAATATTTTATTACTTGATAATGTCACATTATTGGCCTTGACATCGTGCTACTTTTCTGTCCTTTCTCATTTCTGCAGAGGAACTGTCAGTCTCAAGGTGGAAACCTCGCATCAGTGCACAGCTACAATGAGTATCACTTTATTCAGGGAATGATAGCGAGGCGGACTGGAGGGTATCCAGAAACATGGATTGGAGGCTCAGACGCACAACGGGTATCTTAATGCTCACACAAAAATCTCAATCTTAAAGTGACACAAAACAAAATCATAAAGAAAGTTTTTGCATCAGCCTTACTGAAGTGTGTGTGTGTGTGTGTGTGTGTGTGTGTGTGTGTGTGTGTGTGTGTGTGTGTTTCTTGGCTAGGAGCGTACTTGGCTGTGGAGCGATGGTTCACATTTTAACTTTTCCAACTGGTGTCGAAGACAGCCTGACAACCTGTTCAACCAGGACTGTTTGATGATGAACTTTACTGGTAAGTCATTTTAGCTTAAAGTAAAACTTTTGGTTTAACTCTTCAGGTTGTTTTGATGAAATGAGTGCATGTATTCCCAAAAGGTTTCTGAGGCAGCAATTAACCATTCTGAAGATACAGAAGACTAACTGTTGTCTGAATACAGAGCAGCCAAAAATAAAACTCATGGACGTTTACATGGACGGGACGGCCGGCTCCTCCCCTTGTGTATAAAAGCTGTTTTAGTCAAGAACTAGAGAGAAGAAGAAGAACATACTCACTGATTATTTGGATGTTAGTAAGAGTTTTTAGATCACGCTCATTCTGTGTCAGTTTACATGAAATGCTAAGCTACGAGCTAACTAAAGAGCGCTAACATTAGCATGCTAACACAACAATGTGAAGCTACGAGCTAACTAAAGAGCGCTAACATTAGCATGCTAACACAACAATTCAGGACACAGGTGATTGCAGCTCGAGATGAAACTCGAGTGTAGCAGGGGGTTGGAGGTGTGTCTCTGGAGGAGGGCGGAGGCTTCAGTATGGAGGAGGTGTGGCCAAACAGCAGTTTGTTTTGGTTTCATACTGGAGCTCATGGGCGACATCTACTGGATCAAAAATTTGCTAATTCTGTCTTTAAAAAACAACGATTAGCCTGTCGATTCAATGGATTACAATGCATCATGTGTGGTTACAATGAAACTACAGCTGTGGGAAATATCTTTTGTTTTTGACCTTTACAGAAAACAAGTGCTGGGATGATAATACCTGTTCCAAATACTTCCCATCCGTCTGTGCAAAGAAACTTTAATCCTGCCTCGGCTGACGAACGTGTCGAGAACTCCAACTCATCTGTGTTTCGTCTCATCAGTCTCATATTTAATCTGAAGGCTCTAAAACTAATTTTTTTCTTACTATCATGTCAAGTAATTCAAACAGGAGCTGGACTGTCTCTCTGGTTGTATGCTTCTAATAGGAGCGGGATCGATGTGTTATGGAAGGAATGAAACAACATGTTCTCACACCTAAACCCACATGAGCTCACAAATATCTGTTGTATATTTTCTCTCTCTGTAACTGTATTTTATCCCTGCTGCGTTCATAACTGCACTGTTTTTATAACTGAACTGTTTTCATTTTCTTACCCTTTTTATCTTTATCTCTGTTGTTTCTAAAAGCTTCCCGTGGACAGGTGTTGCAAATTAACATTTTTCTATAAACACTAAGAGCAGTGCATCTGGAACTAGTGCATGGTTAAATGTTACAGAACCAATGTTACTGTATGTCCATGTTAAATAAACAAATAAATAAATAAATAATTGGCAACACTTTATTCTTGAGAGTTCAGTTCTTTTGTAGCGTATCTACTTTTAATATTTAAATATATATAACTCAGGGCACCATCCTTGTTAAGTAAGGAAACTAATATTACTTGTAATAGTAATGAATTAATCTATAAATCTGTAATTACGTTAATTACGACAGTGATATAACTTGAATAATAATATTGAATTTGTTTTAAGTTGCCATGGTGAGATTATGTTGATTTTGGAGTTTAACTATATTGTTTGAGGGATTTAACGAAGTGGGATTTTGAGAAAGAAAATAAAAAGGGAACTTAATAAATTTGATGAAAGCTGACTCTGAGGCTTTGATTCGGATACCACAAGCTTGACTCAATACCCCAATCTCATAATCAGAACGCTTCCTTACTGAGGCGTAGTGTTCAATTCAACTCCGCCGAATGGTACCAAGACTTCCCGTCGAGTTCTTTCGGATCAGGAATGCCGGTGGCCCACGATAACCGCCGTAGCAGGTCTGGAGTCGACAATGAGATGGGTTTGAAGAAAAACACAGCGGTCCAAGCAGTTGTCCGTGGGTCCTTCTACCATTCAACATTCAAAAACACATTAATATAGTGTGAAGGGTATAAAATCATATCTTAAAATACTAAGTTTATAAATAGGACAAAATCACATAGTAACTATCGTACTTCCTCCGTCCTGAAACTCAGGTCGGTACAGCGCTCTTGCCACTAGGGGGCAGTAGTGCTCCACATAAGATTCAAGTAGAGTTCATCAGGTAATGTGATGTAGTTTTTCAATATCTAAGTTCGTCATAGATGATCGTAGCGGAATCTAACTTGCATGAAAGTGTTAGTCTTGATGTCATGGATACATATATCCGATTCAGGGATTGAACCGAAATTCTTTTAAGGCAGTTCGTTCAACGGGTCTAAAAGCTATTAAGTCCGTTTGAGATAGTCCAGATCACATCAAAGGCCTCCCCTGCCGTGTTGATTAACTCGGCAGACGGCTGTCTTCCTGGGATTGTTTATTCTGAAAGTCGTTCACACGTACCCAAGTGGTCTGGTTCGCCAACTTGGATTAAAGGCTTCTTGTTTTTTAAAGGCTTATTGTTTTTTTATGTCCTGTTCTTCACATTCCGATGTAAAGTGTCTTTCACAGTTAATCAAATGAATGGCTTTTGTTATCAGTAAACAGGAAGAGTGGGGGTTTTTCATTAATGTCCTGTGAGTTTTAGGTTGATTTCAGGTCAATATGTTACAGTTTGTTGTTGTGATCATCAAAACAAGCTGGTCTACGGTCTTTGTTTGATTTAAAGAGTTGATTTCCCAGATTGCAAAGTTTTCATCCATCCATTATCCATACCGCCTTTCCTGTTCCGGGTCGCGGGGGGGCTGGAGCTGATGTCAGCTGTCATTGGGCAAGAGGTGGGGTCACACCTTGGACTGGTCACCAGCCAATCACAGAGCTGACATATAGAGACAGACAACCAGACACACTCACAAATCAAATCAGTCAACACTGCACCAATCAACCTGTAAAATGTCGCAAGTTTCAGTCAGTGTGTAATGAAACTAACGCTGACCAGGAAAGATACAGAAACGAGAAGTGAGATGTGCAACGGTTTCAGTGAAAAGCTTTAGATTACGTAGAAGAACCTGCGGCGTCCTTGAGGGATGGAGCGCTGTACACAAAAAAATACCGCCATGTTTTTTTCGTCAAAAAAAAGGCTGTAAAATGTTTTCAGTGAGGAATCTTGAAGTTGACATCACAGAAGTTCAGTTCTCACTCGCTCCCCCCCTCGGCGAGGCGACACGCAGTGAGCAGGAGTGAGTCCTCCTGCAGGCCGGGTCCACGATCAGTCCCCCCCCAATTGTCTCCTCTGCTAAAGCTTAGATTCTGTTTGATAAATGTGGATGTTGAGGCAGAGAGGAAAGGAGCTTGTTCCTCTCGCTCATTTCTTTGACATGTCTGCCTTCTTAGCAGAGATGCTGTTTGTCAACAGGCAAGTCAGGCGACTGCTTGGGGGGCCCAGGCCAGTAGGGGGGGCTAGATCCTGAAGTATGGACTAATTCAAAAATAGAATTTGAATTCATGAATCCAGAATCGTTTTGAATCGGAAATTGATTCTGAATTGAATCGTGAGAACCCCAAACATTCCCAGTTCTCCAGTATGTTCTTGTCCATTGTTTAGTTCAGATTGTGATTCTGTTGAACTACACGTAGCATTGATATGAAGACCCTGTCACGCACGCCAACGAGTTATCCAGGTATAACTCCTACATAAGACTATTTGCCAGAGAATATTCCTCTTGTACACTTTCCCAGTCAGACTGGTCCTCCTCCTTGTGGCATAATGTTAATTAATAACTGTCATGAATTACCTCTTCTTTTTTTTAACATCCAAACAGTCTGCTGACCTCAGTGACTATAAGCAAAGACTTGTCTCATTCTCCTACAGCCTGAAAACGGCCAAGACAACATTATTGGGGTTTTATCAAGTCAACTTTGGTTATATTCTTTAATAATTATATTTCATTATTAATAATATAAATAACAATATCATTGACACAGTCAGCCAGCAATATCATGTTTAATCAACTCGTGGGGCACCACCCTCTAATCAGGGAAATATAACCAAAGTATCACTCAAATCAGTCTCAAATTAGTTACTTAATTACTAATATTATTAATAATGAATAACTATATTTAATAAATTGAAGGTGTGAAATCCGTACACAAAGCCTTCGCATCCAGCTTATATCACAATGCCAATACACCAGTAACCACAAACAACTGCTCTCTTAAATTATAACAAAATTTATTTAAACAAAGCAACATCAATCCAAAATCAATGAACTTAATCAAACAAATAACTATTATAAACTAATCTAAGCAAACAAACACTATCAAGCAAAACTTGTAAATGAGGTGAAAAAGTGTAGTTGTGTGTGTGTGTGTGTGTGTGTGTGTGTGTGTGTGTGTGTGTGTGTGTGTGTGTGTGTGTGTGTGTGGATGAGAGAGAGAGAGAGAGAGAGAGAGAGAACAAGATGGTGGAGAGAGACAATGCACCATGTGGCTTCGTCACATGGTGACAAAATGGTGGACAACAAAGGAAGCCGTGTGGCTACCTTTTGAAATAGTTTGAGCTCTCTGAGCTGAGTTTAGTAACTGTTACTTAAACACCAGAAAGCCAGTGGCCGGACTTTGATTCAAAGGCGGGTACACTGGTCTTTCTGATTGTGAAAGCCGTTGACTGAAGGTAAACTAGCATAGCGTTACACACATAGATGAACACAGCAGTTCATTACAATAAAACAAATGCAGCAGCTTACAACAGAATGTGACGTCTCGTCAACAATGATGCATAATTATCAGTGGTTATAAAAGAAACATAACTATTTCTGCCCAGACCAAAGCTCTTACTTGGGGTAACTCCTGGTGATCGTTGCAAAGTTGGTTAGATAGTGACTCTGTTGAATGTTAAATCAACAGATTCAGGCAGGGTTCCTTCATGGCAGATGCAGGAGGAGCGTAGCAGGATTCAGATCTTCGACCAGAGTACTGCTCTAGGGTCTTCTTGTTGCAGGAGCCGAGTTCTCAGCTGAATCCTCTGATGCTTGAATTCAGTATGTGAAGAGCTACCCAGACTGAACAACCTCAGCTCTGGAGTTTAACCTATGTAAGCCAAGAGGAGGAAAGGGTTTGTCTCGAATGCTGACAGGTAAGGTCTGATCTTCCTGATGTTGTACAGGGCAAATTGACATGACTGGGCAATCGAGGCTACTTGAACCTTAAAAGTTAGCTGGTCATCAATCATGACACCCAGTTTCCAGGCAGACTTTGTGGGCATGAGTTTGGTTGTTCCAAGCTGGATATTGATCTGTGGTTGCATAGAGGGACTGGCTGGGAGGACAAGGAGCTCAGTCTTTGAAAGATTGAGTTGAAGGTGGCGTTCATTCATCCATTTAGAGATATCAGCAAGGCATGATGAGATTCTTGCAGAGACTGTAACATTGTGTAGCCGTTATCAGCAGCCACATTGTCCAACCTCTCTTCCTGCAGGACTCAGGACTGTGGATTAACATCTGGGTTTGTTTTACCAAGAAACAAAGGTACTGATCAATGATTTAAGTCTCCCTCTCAGACAGGCTCTGGAGGACAGGATATTATGAACTTTTACAACACCTGGAATAAACAATTGAGCGGAAACAGAACACTCTGCTATCTACAAATTGACCCCAAAGACATGAACTGTGACCAAAACCAGTCTCTGCAAAGTCGTAAAATTGACCATCTGTTGAAGGACTGCTGAAAAGCTGAATTAAACCACAGCGTTCAATTCTGCATCGAATGAACATTTATGTCTTTCTTCATCTAGATATTTGTAATTGTCACATTGAATGTATTATAATCATCTTTTTAAACTCAAAATCTGATTTTAAGAATAGGAATAAGAGTTATATTATGTTTAATAGGAATTTGACGTGGAGCGCTATTGCCATCTAGTGTTAGAATATCCATGAATACGTAACCTTCATAATTATACATTTAGACATTTTATAAAGCATACTCTTTGATATTAGCTATAGAAGGTGTTATTTAAAGACACCAATTTCTTTTCCTACTTTATTAATATGTCTTATTAAGAATGCTGACTGTATAACATGTTTTTGTTCACCTACAGGCTGGGAATAACTGAGGATGTTCCCAGATGGTGTGATTTTCATTTCAACATGAATCTGATGGAAATGTTTGTCTAAATATATGACGTGAACCTACATCAACGTGGATCTGATAGAAATAATATCAAAATGAATGTATGGTGGCGTATATATGTTTAGATTCTTATTCTCAATCTTATT